ACAGCCCCCAAATCGTGGGAAACGGTTTTAGAACCGTTCAACTCATGTTGAATGAGTCAAACGCCAACGTTGGCGTTCAGGACCCTAACCTCGCGTCTTTGAATTGAGACGCGAGGTTGGGTGTTGGCTGAACACCAATGAACGCGAGGGTCACTCGCGTTTTGGCTTGTTGTAACGCGGGTTCGGACCTTGGCGTTTTGATGTTGAAACGCGAGGTTCGACCCTGGCGTTTTGATGTTGAAACGCGGGGTTCGACCCTGGCGTTTTGATATTGTAACGCGGGGTGCGACCTTGGCGTTTTGATGTTGAAACGCGAGGTTCGACCCTGGCGTTTTGATGTTGTGACGCGGGGTTCGACCCTGGCGTTTTGATGTTGAGACGCGGGGAGGACCTCCGCGTCTTGCCTTGCAGAGATTATCACCAAGTAATCTCTTTTTGTCATAGCGTTGCAAAGATCATTGTCTTGTAATCTTCGTCTTGGCTCCTTGAGAATATGAGAGTCGTCAGATTGTAACTCCCGATGTTGATTGTGAAGGCTGTTGAAGTAGAGCTTCCATCAGTTGTCGTGAAGGTCGTCAGATTGTAACCTTCAGCAATCTACGCGAAAGTCTTCAGATTACAGCCTTCTGGAAGTCGTCAGATTGTAACTTCCATCATCGGTGGTTGATGGGGGATAAGCTATCTATTGTGATTTTTAGACAGCCTACAATATATAATCAAGAATGTAGATGGTCCCAAGACCCTGTGAGGTTAGTCTGTTATTGTAATAATCAATATTTACTCCAACGTGCAACATGTGCGCAATAAAGAATTAAATGAGCTCAGATCACTCATCTTCAACCCCGCGTACATACTAAGCCAAAGGTACAAATTAATTAAAGATCCAAAATCACAAGTCGTTTCCTAAATCACAAGTGAACTACAAGATACAATCGGTAACAATATCATGCTAATTATCACCCTTAAGCTTCAATATTTACTTCTCTTTTGCATGATCTATTAATGCCCTAATTAAAAGCTACTTAGTTAATTATAGCAAATTAACTAGTCATACCACACCATGATAAATCTAATAGAAAAATCGATGCTAATAAATTACATCCTATTTTGTTGGTAAATAATATCTAATCATTTTTATAATTTTATTTTGCTAAATGAGTTGGCAGCTCATATCCTGCGAATGTGCGCGACGAAATCCTCCAGCTCCTCCTCCCTCCTCCCACACTCC